TAAATATGTAAATATTTTCCAGTAGGGGATTACTCACCTTTCAGGCCTCAGCTTACACGTTACCTTATCATCAAAGGCCTTTTTTTGAGTACTCAAACCAGTGTCCCACCACTATTCTCTCATCTCACCTGTCTGTCTTGTCTTTGTAGTTACTTGCTTATTGCCTGTCTTCCCACCTCACCAGTTAAAAGACTAAAGAGCTAGCCCTTAAAAAGATGTACCAGGCAGTATTCTACACAGCAGCCCAATGAGGTAGACATTGTTATTGTCTGTATTTTCAAGCAGAGGACATTAGACAGGGAAGTAAGTTGCCCAAGGACACAGAACTGGAAAATAGCAGTTTGAATTCCAACCCCTGGCAGTCTGGCTCCATAATCCATGTTTACCTATTAAATATTCTTAATAGCAGGAGTTTGTACATGTACAAACCTTGCATGTACACCTCTAGACAATGCTGGTGATCAGTGAGTGTTACATGTTAAATGAATTATGGTAAATTCATAGGGCGTCATGCAACACACTGCTGTGAGATGTCCACAATATATCCACACAGAAAATATAATCAACATGTAAACACCTCTGTAATCATCTCTAGGCAATAAGGTTGGTAAGGGCAGAGGGATTTTTTAAATGCTCTTAAATATATTTTTTTTTTTTGTAGTACTAGGTTTGAACTCTGGGCCTATGCCTTGAGCCACTCTATCAGCCCTTTTTTATGATGGGAGTTTTCCAGATAGGGTCTTGCAGAACTATTCGCCCAGACTGGCTTCGAACCTCAGTCTTCCTGATCTCTGCCTCCTAAGTAGTTATGATTACAGGGGTGAGTCACCAGTTCCTAGGAAAATATAAAAAGTTTTAAGGGAAAAATGTAAAGCTTTTTAAAAAAAATGCACTCTCTTGTTTCATACACTGTTGAATCTGCCTCAGTGTGATTAATATTTTTGAAGTTGTGAATGTTATATCCATGTAAATTAATTAGTTATTTCTTTCTTCATTTGTCCCTAAGTTTTGCAACATGGCTTTGTTTAGGATATCTTCATTTACTTTTTCTTCTTTCCTAAGTGGGGCTTGGGGTGTGGAAGAAGAGCTATATTCTCACTGGGAGAGCTGAATATGTCACTTTAAAGGATTATCCATAAGTCAGTTCATAGCATTATTGTGGACATAATTACTACCATGTGTCATGACATTGTGATGTCATGGTACATGATGTGAAGACATTGACAACCTGCATGCATGCTGTGCTACAAGGAGCTCTTCGGTGTTTAGTATTGGACTTGTACACCTCTATTCTCTGGCTTATGACTTCTGCATCCCATTACTGATCTGGGAGGTGTTAGTTAACAGGCTGCTTGGTTCATCAGAGTGGAAAGATAGATGTGTGGTGTTTCCTTTAAAAACAGGCCACCTGGAGGGCCATTGAGCCTCATCCACCTCCTTCAGGAAAGTTCCTGAGAGGCAGGTCAGCTGAGGTTGGAGGTGTGGACCTGTGCTCTTACTCTTGCAGCATTCTAAGAATGTAGTGTCTGTGCTTCACAGTTGCATAAGAAGGATGTTTGGCACCAGGGTGTTTGACTTGACTTTGTAGTGTGGCCTCTCAGGGTCAGGCTGTTTTTGTGAGAGTCCAGAGATTCCTTTCATCCTGCCAGCTCACAGGAAGGGACATGGAAGGATCCAGAGGGTGAGTGAAGACCAGAGGCACAGGGCATCCTGAAGGACAAATTGAAGCTGACCACCTCACAGATTCTCAGCCCTGCTGATGCACGAGAATCACCTGGGAGCTTTTAAGAAGGACTGAGGGTGCCTGCCCCATTCCAGGCCATGGGAATTTGAACCCATAAACCCAGTTTATGGAATTTGAACCCAGGCAAAAGTATTTTTTAAAAACTCTCCCCTTGTTTTACTGGGTGGCCAACCTAGAGCACCACTGGCTTGCTGTAGCACACCGTGGCCCTGGGAGTTCACAGGGACCTTAGGGAGGAAGCAAGGGCGGATGTGCCCTGGAACCAGAGGGCCCCCGCATCTCATACTCCCAGGAAGCTGGGAGGAGGAGGAGGAACAATTTCCTTCCTTCCAGCTCCCATGGTTTTTCCACCTCCTGGTATATGTAATTTGCTCCCACTGCTGAGTGCATACAAATGCAAAGTGGTTCTGGCATGTGGCATTAAATAGCGAAGCAGAGGATCTAAGAGGAGGTAAACATCACACGTTCAAACAAAACTCACACCAGGGCTCCAGGCAGGTTGGGACAAGAGCTGGTTATATTTCTTTTGCACATTAGAGTTTATAACATTATTTCATCTACATTTGCTCATCATCATTTAAGGGAGGCTGTGTGGTAAGTACTATGGCCACTTGACAGATGAGGAAACTGGCCAGAGGAAGATGAGGACCAGGATGTTATGGCTGTCATGTGGCCAAGAAAGCCATAACCTGCCTGGATCCCAAGTCCACAGTCACTCTGCTTCACCACAGCAGTTCTGAAAGGCTGCCTTTGATTTATCTGACAACATCCTGGTTCACCAAGTCACATGTACACTTGAGACAGGAGGACTAGATAGTGAAATACTGCCCAAAGAAGATATGGGTCAAAGAAGCAAGGAAAACCCACCAAACAACCCACTTTCCCACTCTCAAATGATCTGTAAATCTCTATCTATTGCAGCAATGCTAACGTCTGTGGAATATGTGCCATATGTCACTTGCTGGACTTCATAAGAATTAATTCACTCAATCCTCCCATCACCCATATTTTGTAGGTACAATCGTCGATCCATCATCAGTTCCTATTACAGGAGAGGAAAGTGAGGGTCAAAGAGCTTCCATACCTTGCCCAGTCACCCAGCTTGGGAGCCCTAAAGCCTAAGTTTGAATCTGAACAGTTTGGAGCAGGAACTCAACACTTTCCCATGACGCTGTTATCCTGCTGGTTAGAGAGCCCAGTGCAACTCTGGGATTCTGCTGTTTCTTCTTCTTTTCTTAATCTCAACAGTCATACAGTTATTGTGCTTTTATCATACACTAGGCATTGTTCCAAGGACTTTAGTTATGTCTCTTAATTTCCTAGTGCTTGGGGAGTAGGCTCCTGATCTGACCCTTCACAGCAAGGCTGTTATGCAGAACACCTCTGTCCCCAGCAGCTCTCTCTTAGGGAGGTCCTTCTGGGAACCTGCCCAGCATTGTTGAGGGAGCTTATGTCAGACTTTCAGTGACTGAAGGAGAGAAGCCCTTCTGTGCTGGCTGTCATAGTAGGGCTCTGTGTCATCAATTCTTCCTCCAGGTTCTTGGTGGTGGCATCCAAGTCATCTCCCCCTGAGTTACATATTACAAACTCCTCACATTATACTGGCATGGGGACCTCAGCCATTTGAACTTTAGTGACCCTTGCCTTTGTCTGTCTGGAAGATCTGGCCCAGTCAGAGGAAGAGACAGGGTTAATTTTTTCCTTGCTTGCTGTGATTGTACAGTGAACATCCAGACAGCCAGATGTCAAAGTTGGACTCACTGTTAGGTCTGACTCTGAGTCCTGGAGATGCCAAGAGGGCTTCCTTCCGATGGCTCTGGAGGACTCACCTATGTCCATGCTGCACTCCCCACCTGCATCTTTTCTCTGAGAGAATGTTCCCTTGCCATTTCTGTCCATCCACAGCTTTGCTCTCAGCTATGCTCATGGCTGAATCTTCCTCCGTCTTCAGGTCTCAGCTCAGTCTTAGGCCCTCACTGAGTTCTTCATTGTTCACCCTGTCTAAAGAGAGCCTCCCACCTTCTCAGCTTTCAGTGAACCTCTTTGCATCACTTGTCTATCCTTTTCATACCCCTTTCTCATCACATTTATTTTCTCATTACTTATTTATTGTCTTATTCTTTGTGAAATTGTAAGCTCCAAAACAATGAGTTTTTAACTCAACTGCTTTACTAGGCACCTGGCTTGTAGCAGGGTGCCATACCATATTAGGTGCTCAGTAAATATGTACTGAGTGAGCCTGGCACAGTGACTCATGCCTATAATTGTAGCTACTTGGGAGGCTACAATCAGGAGGATTGTAGCCTGAAGCCAGTCCTGGAAAGAGTTCATGAGACCCCAACCCATCTCAACCAATAGAAGCTGTGCGTGGTGGCATATGCCTGTCATCCAAGTTCCTCAGAAAGTGTAAAGAGGAAGACTGTGGTCCAGGTATAAACTTGAGACCCAAAACAAAAAAATCTACAGATGCGGCTCAAGTGGTAGAACACCTGTCTAGCAAGCACAGGGCCCCAAATTCAAAGCCCAGTAACACCAAACAAAAAGAAAAGAAAAACCACTGAATGAAGGAATAAAAAACCTGTCATTGGAGGTGATGGTATTATCACTACCACCAGTAGCTGATTTCCAACATCCAAATTCTGCCAGTGACCCTTTCTAGTTTATGCCTCCCACGTCTCCGTAAATCCATGCTGTGTTTAGCATTCCGTGGCTGTCAGCCCCATCAGCTAAATGACTCTGGTCTGATCACATGTCCTCAGCTCCCCCATGTTGAATGAAGTAGCTCCAGTCCCTGTGAAGACGTCAATGAATAAAATCAAAATGACAGTTTGGACTCTCAGTTAAGGAGGGAGCAGCCATTGAGGAGAATGGATTTTTGGGGGACTATGAAAGTCAAACGAAAGAGTCCCCAGGAAAGTTTCAACAGCTAAAAATAAAGTCCCTACTCTAGGCAGCATGCTGGGTGTCTAGCAGCGTGCACAGGCAGAGCTTCTGCATCTAGGGGGTTTTCTGTCCATTGGCGAGCGGGGACTTAACAGCATAACAGGAAGACACCACCATGTATGTGGCAAATACAAGTTCCAAACACTAGACGATGCTCAGTCCTTTGTTTACAGTGGAGTTTGGCTGGAGTCTCAGAAGGCCTTATGGGATGTGGTCAAGGCCCTGGAAGACAGGGGCTTTGCAAACATTTACTGTGTATTCTGAAACCTTGGTGCACGTTCTCGGTGGTCACTGGCTTTTCTGTTCTGTCTAGGTGAAGCCAGAGGATGCCCCAGTAGCCCTCTGGCTTCAGGGTGGGCCAGGAGGTTCATCCATGTTTGGACTCTTTGTGGAGAATGGACCTTATCTTGTCACAAAAAACATGACTGGTAAGTGTTGCTTTGACTGTGTTTCCTATACAGAGTCCTTCGTCTGAACCGTGTATCTGCTCCCTAACTCATTTAAGAGGACTAGCTTAACAGTTCCAGATTGCAAAAACACAACTTTCTTGCAATGTCTGTCCAAGAAGGAGGAGCCATGGGGTTTGTGCCCTGCCTGACCTACTTTGTCCCTTGAAATTTGGGTGAAAGGTTCTAAGCTATTTTCTCAAGTCTGCTGCTGACTCAAGCATTCTCGGCTTACAGAAATGGTTGGTATTCATTACTGTTTGGGAGAACCTTTCACATGGGTCTAGTGAGGGAATTATGTCCCTAATTAGTCATTGGAACAGAACACTTTTTGGTTCAGTCACTTAAATGATACGATACCCTGGAAGCAAGATGCTGTGATGGGGGCTGAGGTGGAGGAAGGAATGGAGAAAGAGCAACATCTGGCTGTAACCCAGGGTCATCTCCATCTTGTTGTCTGATTTGAGGGAGATTGTTTACTTTCCCTGGGTCAGAACTCCAAATGTGAACTTGTTTGCAACTCATTATAAAAGCTTGTGTGCCAATTTTGTTAAAGTTGTCCTCTACAGTGGGGGGTGGCAGAAGAGAATTCAAGAGGACTGGGATGATTTACAGGATTGGCCAAGTGGGCATTGTTGCTTGGGCTCTTCATGAACCAGTTGCACAAGGTTTGTTTTCAGGCTTCATCTTAGATGTAGAAATTCTCTGGGTGAGGGAAAAAGTAGAGAAGAAGCAAGGAGAGGAGAAGGTCAAGGTGCACTGCACAAGTATGATGCAGTGTTCATGTGCAGGGAAGGAGGGTGTCCTGGGCTCCTGACCAAATGAGGCCTTACCTGCAATGTTTTGTTACAACTACCTCTCCAACTCCTCTATTTTAACAGTTCATCTCAGAGACTTCCCTTGGACAACCACCATCTCCATGCTTTACATTGATAATCCGGTGAGTGTCACGTGACACTATGAAAGGTCATTTCAGGCCTCTTGTGGCTTCTTTTTGCTAAGTATAGTTGTATACCCCCATAATGATGCTTTGATCAACGATGGACCACAAATACAACAGTGGTCCTATAAAATTATAATGGAACTGACAGATTCCTATCACCTAGTATTTTTACTTTGCAATGCTTAGATATGTTTAGATATGCAAGTATTTGCCATTGTGTTACAGTTGCTTGCTGTATGCAGTACCCTACAGGAGTGTGCTGTACAGGATTACAGCCTAAAAGCAAGTGATGACATCTATCTATCTATATATTATCTATCTACCTATATACTATCTCTCTCTCTATATATATATATCCATCTCCTACATGTGGAGTAAGCTATACCATCTAGGGTTGTGTAAGTATAGCTTATAATATTCTTACAACAATGAGTTCATCTTGGGATGTATTTCTAAAAAAGGGGGATCCTCATTATGTATGACTATATATTTTTAAAATTAGAGATACAGTTGTTTTCTTTTTAAAATAGAATTTAATCTGTTAAATGAAAACCATTTCAGATTTTGTTTTTCTATTAGCATGTTTTATCATGTCTGAATTTGGGAGTGTTCCTTGTTCCCTTCTCTCCTTTCCTTATTTTTAATCCTGTTCACTGAATTATATCATCCAGGATAAGGGATTCCTCTCTTTCCACTGATGGAATTCCTAATCTTTCATATAGTGTTCTAGATACAAAAGGCCCAAACTGTTCTCCTTTCCCTATCAAGGTAAGCAGAATGCCTCATTTGGGGGAAAAAAGCAGTATACTCCTTGGGAAGTTTTTCTGAAATTGATTTTGATAAGGTGTAAAACAGGAGAGTATCTCAGGGTCAGCCTCTGCGAGTATGAAGTAGTTTTACCCCAACACATCTTAGCTTCTCTCACTTTGTAGATGGTTCAAAAAGAAAACAAGTAAATACAAAGGGAAAAAAGTCAACATGCTTGTCCTTCCACCTGTTTTATCCACCATACTTTTTCCTAGTCTATAATTGCATATTTAAATAGAAAATGAATTAAATGCTGTGTTCATTTGTGTGTTTAGGGAAAAAAATTTAAATCTTTATACCTGGTGGGGAGTACATTCCTTATACAAATTATTGACACAAAATCACTTGTAGATTCTTCTTTTGGTTTACAGTTCAATTGTCTATAAATTTCTAGGAATAAGGCAATATAATTTAAAATGAGGCTCATTTTTAAACTCCTTATCTACTGAAGATGAAATGGTGCTATGGCCATATTTCTAACAAATAAAGAAACAAAGAATATATACAATACGTTTTTATCTCCAGCCTAAAGAGTTCCTTCTTGGCAGGACAGAGCCATGCACCCTCCGTGTTTCAGAGAGGAGGCAGATTTGGGTCTTTTGATTCTGTGGCAGGACCGCAAAAGGCAAATTCCTCTTCCTTCCTCCTTTATCAGGAAGCTAAAGACACATGGGTTGATAGCAAAGATCTGAACTCTTTGGAACAAGTAAGGTGGGTTCTAGCTGAAGGTCTCTGATGCACATGTTTCTCTGTGCTGATACCTGCTGATTTGTTTCCCTTTCAGGTGGGCACAGGCTTCAGTTTTACTGATGACAAAAAGGGATATGCAGTCAACGAGGATGATGTAGCACGAGATTTGTACAGGTAACTTTGTCTGGGCTTCTCTAAATCAAGCATTTTTCTACATAGGAGATTTCTTCTACTGGCAGAATTAGTGACTTGTTCTTATTATCCAGTTTTTGAAAATTTTTAAGAAAATTTCTACACAAGGAGCACACACACATACTCTCGAGTGTCTTCTCCACTTTGTTATCTTGTCATCAACAGTTGTATAAGTGGCCATCAAAGAACATTGTTAGGAGAACTAAAATCTTAAGGTATAATTGTAATTTTGTAAAAATGTCCCTTATGAACAATAGAGACATAACACAAATTTTTAACCACAGATTAGTTTTCAAGCATTTCAACCAGATGCCTCCGACATTTCTTCCTGTTTTCCAAAATTATATTTAACTTTTCATATGCCAGGAGATGACATCTTATTGATATCTGTAGGTCTTCTTTCTTAGGCTCTCTCCTGTGGCTTTCAGATACAACTCTTTACTCTGTAGCTTTTCCTTCATGACTTTTCCAGGCTGAAAACTCAGCTCACTAGCTAGTCCTTCTCTCTTCCTTTCATCTCAGAAAATTGCGCTTTTGCTTAAAAAAAAGAAAAATGCAAAATTTGATTAAGTGGTATACACACAATTTTTTCTTTCTTTTTCTTACACCCATTATAGCTATTTTTAATCAAGGCATTTATTTAATTTTTTGTTGTTGTTGTTTTGGCAGTACTGGGGTTTGACCTCAGGGCCTCACAGTTTCTAGGCAGGAGCTCTACCACTTGAGCCACTCCACCAGCCCCCATTGCAGCTATTTTTAAGTAAGCTATTTTTTTTAAGTTGACCTTCCTTATTTACTCAGCATCTTCCAGTCTATAAGTTATTTCCAGAGACCCAGTCCTAAATTCTTGTGGGTCACTTGGATACCATTGGGTCACTTGATCCCTCATGATAACCCACAGAAAGAATCCTATTGGCTAGAAGGAGTTAACCAGCAACTCCAGCCCCACCTCTCTCTCATTCTGCTAATTACCTGGTAGCAAACCCAGCCAATTCCCAAGGGGAAAGTGTGTCTGATGGGGAGAGGAAAAAGGGACTTCTGGATCAGTTTCCCAAAGACTTTCTCGTTCCCTCTGCTATTCCAGACAAGAATATAGCTGTTGTCTTCTCCACTTTCATTTTCCACATTTCATGATTTTAACACTTGCATTCAGTTTCCAGGAGGGATACCAGTTCCCCACACCTCTACTCTCAGGTACAGTGGATCCTGGGGACAAATTACTGATCCTCATTCTCCCAGAGGATCCTCTTCCCTCCCTCCTGCTCCAGCGCCCGTCTCCCTTCTTAGACATGACCTTGATGGCTGTTCTCAGTTGACTCAAGCGCCATGTCTCTCACTTAATACTGTGGTACTCTCCTTCTTCCCATAGGAAACCACCCCCACCTCTCCACACACCCTAACCCTCTTCTGGCTTAAATCCAAACAAACTCAGTTGTTTAACTAGCAAACGCCCTGAGGGCAGAGGTTCTGTATTAAAGAAATACATCAGTCTCTTGGAAGACAGCACATTGCAAAAGCCCCTTCTTTCCCCTCCCCCAAAGATGCTTCCAGCTTCCCACTGACCCTCCATGTGGGTATTTACTGCTGACATGTGGTACATCTCCTCTTGCATGACATGTAAAGAGAACCTATTTCAAAGCATCCATTGTTTATAGCTGTTTTAGTTCTTTTTGCTTCAGGCTCTCAGAACTGGAAAATAGCTAATCAAGAGTAGTGCAGAAAACTGATTTCAGCTGTTTCCTTTATAGTTTACACTATTCATCTCCTTTTGTGACTACATTCTTCTCTCCGGCTCTCCAGATGGGTGTCTGGAGTATGGAGGTCACTTTGAAACGTGTAAATGGGCTACTGAGAGTTTAAAGACTAGACCTTTCTCTTCTCCCTCTGAAAACCATCTCTCTTTTTTCTGAAAATCCTATTCCTTTATCCTGCTCTTAAGTGCCTGGCTGGAAGGTTTAGCCTTCAAAAGGGGCCTTGAACATTCCCATTTGGGCTGTTTTTTTCTTTGTGTTCAGAAATAAAAATTTTCATTAACAAGATGTTGAATTTTGGTTTGTTTTCCCTATTGAGAGTGTGCTATGGAGCCACAGTGCCTCTCCCGAAAAAGAATTACTAAAACATATTAAGTTTCCTCACTTTGAGTTGGACATCCTGGCTGGTGCCACTGTCCTTGTGCTACACTCTCAGTGAGCACACACTCTGTGCCAGACACTGTTCCTGGAGCTGGCACAGCAGTAAACAGCCCACAGCCCTTGCTCTCCTCGAGCTTGTAGTCTATTGGTACCCCGAAGTTACCTCTCATAGTCCAATGGAGGTGCTGCTGTCGTTCCATCCGTGTATTGGTTGGTGACAGGAAACCTCCCATGGACCAGCCAAAGCTACCCAGCAGTGTGACTGGGAAGCAGGTGTCCTGTAAGAAAGGAGGATACTGTGGTTTGTGGAATCCGTGCAGGGAGGAAAGGACCATAGCACAGCCACTCAGGATTTGGAGCAAATGAGAAGAGGCCTGTCTTTGTGTACTCTAATACTACCAAACCACCCAGATTTTTATTGTCTTACCTGTTTCATCCACTGTCAGTGACTGTAGCAAGTTGGCCACTTGTGTTGGTATGTGTATGGGTCAGGAAAGTCAATGTAAAGGAGGAAAGATTATTTCTGCCTTATATGGTTTCAGAGGTTCCAGTGTAGGGTCACTTGGCTCCTGTATTTCTAGACATTGTGGTTGGGAGTACGTGGTAGAGCAAAGCTACTCCTCTCATGGCAGCCAGGAAACAGAAAAGGAGAAGGAGGAGGAGGAGGAGAAGAAAGGAAGGAGTCAGGAACAAAATACACCTTTCCCCGGTATCCCTCCAGTAGCCTACTTCCTCCAGCTAAGCCCCTCGACCTCCCAATAAGCTATTAAGCTATGAATCCACAAATGGATTGATCCATTCATGTGGTCAGAGTACTCATGAACCAGTCACCTCCCCAAGATCCCACCTCTGAACATAGCTGCATTGGAGACCAAATCTTCAACAAATGAACCTCTAAAGGACATTTAAGATCCAAACCATAACTGTATGGCACTCCTGCTTATTTAAACCTTGATCTCCCAGAATGTCATTTGTAGTTATCAGGCTTCTGCTTCATCAGAACTGACTAGATTCCAGGCCTGATCTTTGGGTTTACTGCATATGATTGATCATTTCCACCTCTCTGCCCCATGATTATCAATTTTCCTTTTCAAAAAGTTATCTGAGGAGTAAGTTTCTCCTAGTCTTTCTTCCTTGTAGTCTGTTTCCCCTTTTTGTTATTTGTGTCAGTCTTAAAGTATAGCCCTTTCTCCCCTTCCGTTGAAAACATCTTTCTTTTTTCCATGAAAGTCCCATTCTTTTTTCCTATTAATAGTGCCTTGCTAGTAGCCAGCAGATAGCCTTTCACTAAAATTCTACTTATTAGACAAATCCATGGCACAATGCCAATAAGGTTGCCACATGGAATCTCCTGGAAGATGCTTGTTTTTGTACCATATAACTCTTACCTCAAAGAATATATGGAGCAGATGTGCACACACATGTACACACGTATTTTGTGTATTGTATATTATGTATGTTAGCAATTCTGCCTCTAAAATTTGAAATTTCATACAAACATGATTCTGTATTGTGTTTTTAAGCAGATCTTCACCATGTAATAAGAACAGTCCTTGACTAAAATACAGCTAAATGAGCAAGTGGTATATGTGAATCTAGCTTACTAAATTTACCTTTTTCACTCTTTATTCCTATATAAGAAACACTTATCAAGGATTTGCTAAAAAAAAAAATCAATTAAAAAAATTACAGGTGAAATTAAACCTTTGTTAACCTCCTCAAGTGGACTCTTGCTTTGAAAACTCCAGCTAGAGAATCCTGGCATCTTCAAGGCAGAAGTAACCTGAAATAGTCTCATCTTCAATTTCAACATGGAATACTCAGTTGAATTTGAATTTCAGATAAACGATGAATGCTGTTTAAGCATGTACGTACGTTCCAGATAATATTTGGACATACTTGTACTAAAGCATTGCTCATTATTTATCTGAATTTCAAATTTAACTTGGTACCTTTGTAGTTTTACCTGTTAAATCTGTCAATCCTAATGACTTTCCAACAAATACTATAAGGAAATAAGCTGCAAATTAAATCATAAAGCTAAATTGAGATTTACTATGTTAAATTATCTGGTGCCATTCCAACCAGCAGGAAGAGAAAAAGGGAAGTAATTTTAGCCTGGAGGTTGGAGAGGGAAGGGTGGAGAATAAACTCCTATTTTTATCTCCACTCTAAAGCCAACTTATTACCAGCATTAACATGGAAGCTATAAAAATGTAGCTTCCCAAATTTAGTTGCTACAAAGGCCACTATAAATAATAAATGGAGAAATAGATCAAAACTCTGCAGTAGTGTTTCATGGTAAATTTTTATGGAGTCTTTGAAAGTAAAGTATAGCCAGGATCATGATGGTTGTAATGACTCAATTTTGGCTCTCTATAACCCTTGAACTTTCTTCCTCACCTGGGTTTTCCAGATCCTCCTTGCCTTTCATCTCCCCTGGATGGTTCATAGCTTTTAGTCCTCAGCAGCAAGCTGGAACAACCCTGACCCTCCCAGCTTCTTGGGCATTGCAGCTTGAGTCACATTAGAAGAACGCCTGCATTCCACAAGTTTTTGTCTACTTTTTGGAAAGATTTTGGTCAAGTAGAGAATCGCTCAAAAGTCATTCACCCTTTCCTTACTTGTTATGAAATAATTTCTTTACATCTACTTACATCTATTTTAGCATAACTCACTGAAGTTGCTGCCAGCAGTCTTTAGTAAATGTGACTTTTCTTCTTCTTCTTTTTATTTATTTATTTATTGGTGGTACTGGGGTTTGAACTCAGGGCCTACACCTTAAGCCACTCCACCAGCTCTTTTTTGTGAAGGGCTTTTTTTCAAGATAGGGTTTTGTGAACTATTTGCTCAGACTGGTTTCAAGCTGAGATCCTCCTGATCTCAACCTCCTGAGTAGCTAGGATTACAAGCGGGAGACACAAGCACCCATCTCTTTTCTTGTTTTTTGAGTGACCTCTGGAGACCACTGCACATTTGCTTAGGGACTTACGGTCATTTGTTGGTTTTGCTTTAGATTAGAGTCATTTTATAGCTTTTCTGTTCTTTGCTTATTAAAACACTGACATCTGGGAGCTCCAATGGAAATAGTCAGGGTCCCTCACTGTGGGGGTTGGGTAAGCAACTGAAGTTCCCATTTCCTCTCGCAGACCCAGGTCAGTGGGGTCATAAGGTTGCATAAGAATCGCTAAGTAATAGGTGAAAGCCTGCATAATGGCTCAAGATCCCTTCCACAGTGGTCACCCAGAGATTTGGAAATGTGCTCAGAGGATTGATGCCCACTGTCCAAACTTCTTACCAATGCAAAGTAAGCCCCACATGCATTTTCTGTCCATGTAAAATGTAGTGCTATTACATACGTGAGACTCTGGAAAAAATGCCCTATGGGAGCTCACAACAGAATGATACATTATTTCCAATCTGAAACGTATTGCCAAAGGGTGAGATTTGGTAGTATAGTATGAGATGATTCTGATTGATTTTTATTGTTCTTTTTGCAGTGCGCTAAGTCAGTTTTTCCAGTTGTTTCCTGAATACAGAAAGAATGACTTTTATGCCACTGGGGAGGTGAGTTCAAGTCATGTTTTCTGGTGTGCCTCAAATATCATTAGTTCATTTTTTTCTTAAAAATTCATGCATATATACATATATATAAATAAACACATACATATATGTGTAAATATTCATATCAATCCAGCTCATATTCAGAATTCTCTAGCTAACCTGCAAATTCCCTCCATAACATTATTTTCAATCCACCATTCAATAAAGGTTCACATGTTGTAATGGGCTTGTAGATTATCTTGTCTCAGTCCTTTGCCTTTTCAGACTTTTTCAAAAATGGTGCTGGGGATTGAACCCTAGGGTCTCATGCAGGCTATGCAAACTCACTACCGTTTTTGTTATTGTCATTTATGATGATGATTTTGAGGTGTCCGGGGCCCATACCTTGAAAAATTTCCCATATTCTGAGTTTGTCTGATTCCTCCACAGTGTTTAGGTTCAGTGAAAACATTTTGCAGTGTTTGTGATTCTCTGTACTTTCTGGGGGCAATCCATCAGTAGCCACATCATGTCAGTTTGTCTCCTAATTTTAATCACTTGGTCGAGGCAGTGCCTGCCAGATTGCAATACTGAAAACACACCTGTGTCTGTGTGTAATTAATAACTAATCCAAGGCCATGGGAACACCTGTCCCCCAAAAGTTTTAGATCCATTAATGATCCTTTCCCAAATCTGTTACTACCTTGGAGGTTCTAGTCTGTTTTTCTGTAGATATCAGCTGGCATTCTTCTATAGAGATTTTTCCCTCCATCTCTTCTCTATATTCCTTATAAAAATATTACTGTGATCTCAAGAATTGTTGTTTCTATTTGATCTGTCAAATTGTGTCACTGTCATTGATTTTGAGCTTCTTTCCTAATTTTAGGCAATGGGAAGCCCTTCGGTCTAGCTCTTGTGTCCTTTGAAGGGTCCCAATAGTTTTTGAGATTTCCTTGCTTTCTGGCATGAATATATGTCCCAGAAGCAGCTTATACTCCATGACCTAGCTCTGGAATCAGTTTTTTTTTTTTTAAGGAACCCTGATTCCTTTTAATGGGGAATGGTATTTAAAAGCCAAGTCCTAAGCACTCAGTGCTCGTTGCTATTGGGATGTCATTTCTGGAGAGCTAGGAAATAAAATGACTTCACAATGATACCCATTACCTACAAGAATGTTCTCTTCTCCTCTCTCCATTACGTATTTGTGTACCCCTTCTCCCACATCAAGGACCATAGTACCCAACTATATCACGTGTTTACTCTTTTTCACATCCCTACTTTATGCCCCAAGTGGTTTTAGATTTACTATATCAGAACTATAATCCTCAAAAAACCCCTCCATGTTTCTTTCATCAGCCTTTGTCTCTCATTCTTTCCTTGGCTTTGTGTTTCTCTGGTTTCATTCTCAGATAAGTTCTTTCCATCTGGTGCCCCGTCCCATCACTCCAGCTCAACTTCACTTTCCCAATGATTACATCTGTAGGCTTGAGTGTCATATGATGCATTTGGGTCCCATGCCCATCCAAGAACCAATAACTGGGGTCAGAGGGATGGAATGAAGATTGGCAAACATGGTGCCCCAAAGCCTACCCCACTGCCCCCTCCCTCCCAGGAAAGGATCATGCTGGGGTCCTCAGCCTCTGAATCATGAGGCCTGACTGTGGGAGATGAATGATATCCAGAGGAAGAGCTAAATGATGCCAGAGGAAGGCTGGAAGGATGCTAAACCTGTGCATGCACAGATGTGCACACTTAGGGAATGATAGAGAGAAGTAGTCTCCATTTTCCAAAAGGAATGGAACTTCCTTGGGCCTTCTTTCTTCTTTTTTTTTTTCTAAGCTATTTGGAGAGCATATTCTGATTGTTTATACTTAAGTTCTTTATAACCAACTGCCAGTTGGGATTATTTAGGACTTTTACCAATAATTCCATACTATTCCTTGCCTTTTAACCAGTTTTAGAGGCAAGTTGGGGAAAGGGGTAGGGAGCTATGCTCATGTCATTTGTCACCCACTCTGGAATATGACCATCTCCAACAGAAAGGTGATCTGCTTAGTGTGTAATTCCTTCTCTTGGCAATAATGTAGCGATGTTGTTCACAGTGATGTCGAATGCTCAGAAAAGCTGCCAAATCCCAGATGAAAAATCTGACTTGTCTATTTTATTTCTGCTTGATAGTTTTATACATGTAATTTCCAAATGTGTGTGGGAAAGAAAAAAAAATTTTTTTTTACATTCTTTGCTGCCAGGATGAATACTCTTAAGGGAATTTGTGCCTTCTAGCTAAAGAAGGAAGATGTGAACGAGGGCAGTCAGGGCCTGAGGTAGAGAGGCAGTTGCCAGGTAGTATCATCTTCATTAGAGTTACATAGATCCATGTGGTCTGAGGGCACATCTCTTTAGAAGGAAGAACACCAAATAATAAGGCCTTGATGGCCTATTATTATTAGAATGCCATGTTTTTCCAGTCTAGTTGGTCCCATTTGGTTTGTCTTCTGTTTTAAGGCCATAAGGCAAAATGGAGAAGTAGAAGGAATACTGATTTAATAATTAGGAGACCTGGGATCTCAGATGACTTCTGCAAAGTCTCTTTTCATCTTATTACACTCAGATAGGTTTTTTGTTTTTTGGTTTTTTTTTTAATTAGACTGCTTCCAGGGATATTTTGCTTTTTTAGGAAGGAGTTCATCTATAGTTCTGCAGTTATCTAGACTTTTTTTTTTTTTTTGCAATAATGGAGTTTGAACTCAGGGCTTTGCACTTGCAAGGCAGGTGCTCTGTAACTTGAGTCGTGCTTCACTCCATCTAGACTTCCTGTTACAACATCTCTACATACTTGCAGTTTTAACATAGTTCCAACCCACCCTCTCAAATTGTTACAGATTTTTCAAGACAGAAAAATCTTTATCTTCTGAGCTGTTAACTTGCTCACATTCTTAGGGAGGCTGAACCAATAATGCCAATCAATTGATAGAATCATCCTTGAAAATAGACTCAGAAGTCATTTTCTGCCTTTCAAATCAAATGCGCTGGACCTAATGCCCTTCACATTTGTGGGCTATGAATGACGGGAGCTTGATACTACCCTGGAGCAGCTGTTCAGAGCCCTGACTCTAGTGCAGTGGGCTCTGGAAATAATAATAGTACCTAGTGCATAGCATTGTTTTGAGCATTTAATTAGAAAATCCTCCTCAGACATTTAGCATAGTGATCGGCTGCAGTGAGTCCCCAACACATGGGGCCTATTATTGCCATTCATGATGAAAAGCTGGATTAATCTATTAGGGTTCCAAAGCATATGGCCCAATGCATGTAGACAGGCTGCAGTGTTACTAGAAACTCTGCTCACTCGTTGGAATGTGCCATAGTCTCCTTTATTCCGTGTGGATTATTTTGGAATCGTGTGTGTGTGTGTGTGTGTGCACGTGTGCATGTTGCTAGGGATCAAACCTAGGGCCTAGAATATGCTAAGCAGGTGCTGTACTATTGAGCTACATCCCCAGTTGAAATCATTTTTAAGAGAAACAATTATTTTGTCCATGAAGATGGATCTTAGAAGTTAATATTAGAAATTTGCTTTGTTTTTTATGTGGATAACAGCAAAATGTGTCAGGACTCATCCCAGGCTCCTTTCCCCTGCTGTGTGAACTATGCCTGGCTCACCAGAGAGCGCAGTGTGGTCCTGCAGTGAGCACAAAGGAGAAGTCGCTTTGTCTTCTTCTTTCTCTTCATTTCTGCCCAGAACACCAACTGGAATTAATTTTCTCTAAAGAGAGACAAATGTGTCTGTAAATCACCCTCCTCAAGGCATGAAAAAATGTACTTCAAAAAGAAACAAGCTGTGTTTAATTCCCATAATTAACTTTCTTTATAAGTGTTATCCTTTCCAAGCCAGTAACTATTAGTGAGACAGCTCTTGTTCCTGAGACACAGACACACTTCAGAGTACTCTCCAGCGTCCATGGGCCCTACTAGAAGTTAAAGCAAAACAACCCTCATTGGAAGGCAGGCAGGTGACAGAACAATGGGGTTTGCTCATTAATCTATAAGCATGTGGTTTCATGTACCATTATAGGCCAAGATTCAGTGCTGTGAGCATTGGATGGAAACACTCCCCAAATGACAGGGCACATGGTTAAAACATTGGCATCTCTTCTCCATCAGTAGAAAAGAACAGTGTTATAGCTGTGCTTGGTCAATTTAGGGACCAAACACAGGCAAAACTTTGAAGCTATTGATATGTTTGTAAGTTTAATGAGATACTCTATCTTCATCCCTATAGGTCAAGTTCTATGGGAGCATGATATCTGACAACCTTCTTGAGTCATCATGGTCTTTTGGGTTGAGATGTCAGGCTCTCAGTATATGAGAGCATGTTTGTTTAGTTTGTTTCGTACAAATCTATGTGTGGTCCTTGAATGTTACAGAGTGGTTTTGTGCAAGGCTATCATTAGGTCAAATAAAAATATCAATGAAATTTCTACTCAGCATGTTTTCATCTCTCTTTGTCCCTCTCTACCTGCCCTATGTCCCAGGCCCTTGGGACTTTCCTTTCTACTCTCTTACTTTCCATGGCTATCTTATGCCCGGGCTTCCACCCTCAACCTTCCTCCTCTTGCTGTATTTTACTCAGGTTTATTCTCCACTCTTCTTCCCTTCTTATCATGATTGCTCTGTTTCTGTCTCACATTCTGACTTACCATCTGACCTATCCACTGGAAAGAATCCAGTACATTAAGCCCAGTGTGCTATACTCTCAACATGTTTGTATGTGAATAGAGAATGTACCTATATTTGTAATAGGAGACTCAAGCACTGACATGCAAGCAGAGGGGTAACATCTGAGGTGAACTATGATAGCCATAGGTCTATGCAATCATTCTATGTAGGCCTCCATCACTATCCTACTAGTCCAGACTTGGGTTCAGAATCTCGTTCACAAATATTACTTAGAGATCCCATATGAGAAAATTTATTTAGAGTGGCTCATTCAGCAAACATGAACACTCTTTTGCTGAGTGCTG